AGGGCCCAGAAGGTGGTGGTCAGTGGCACAAAGTCTAGTTGGAGGCCAGCAACTAGCATTGTACCCCAGGAGTCAATACTGGCTCCAGTCCTGTTCAACACCTTCATTAATGACCTGGATGATGGAGCAGACGGCACCCTCAGCAAGTTTGCTGATGACACCAAACTGGGAGAAGTGGCTGATACACCAGACGGTCATGCTGCCATCCAGAGGGACCTCAAGAGGCGGGAAAAATGGGCTGACAGGAGTCTCCCAAATTTCAACAAGGAGAGGTGTAAAGTCTTGCACCTGGGGAGGAACAACCCCCTGCATCAGTACATGCTGGGCAGAAAAGGGACTGGAGGTCCTCGCGGACACCAAGTTGAAGATGAGCCAGCAATGTGCCCTTGCAGCAAAGGAGGCAAATGGTATCTTGGGCTGCATTAGATAAGGTATTGCCAGCAGGTCGAGGGAGGTGATCCTTATCCTCTGCTCAGCACCAATAAGGCCACACCTGGAGTGCTGCGTCCAGTTCTGGGCGCCACAAAACAAGACATAAATGGAGCTACTGGAGAGAGTCCAGCAAAAGGCCACGAGGGTGATGAAGGGACTGGAGCATCTGTCCTATGAGGAAAGGCTGAGAGAGCTGGGACTGTTCAGCCTAGAGGAGAGAAAGCTCAGGGCGGTCTTATTAACATATCTAAAAGCCTGAAGGGAGGGTGCAGAGAGGATGGAGCCAGGCTATTTCCAGTGGTGTCCAGTGACAGGACCAAAGGCAATGGGCACAAACTGAAACATGCAAGGCTCTGTCTGAATGTCAGGAAACAACTTTTTTGACAGGGTGACCATGCACTGGCACAGGTTGTCCAGAAAGGTGGTGGAGTCTCCATCCCTGGAGATATTCAAAAGCCCTCGGGAGACAGTCCCGGGCACATTCTGTGATTCTGTGATATGAAAGATTTATTGCAATGCTCAACTGTGATTATAATCTTTGAAAAGAGTCATCTGTAAATTAATTATACAAATTATAAAGATTGAAGTGCATACTTGTTCATACATTTTCTAGCCACATGGTATGCCATGAATACCAGCCTCATTAGGAACCTGTTTGTGCAGTATCATAGGATTGCTCTTGCTCCAACTTTGGAGCATAAAATACATGTTTAAAGATGGTTGTGGTCAAAATGTTAACACCTTCCTTTTTCTGTGCAGAAAAAGGAGAGGCATATAAATTCATGCCAAAGAACTACATTTTATATTTGATGATACCAAAGATAGATGTACTTTCAATGGCAGAACTTAGCTGGAATGTTGCCAGCCCTTCAGACAGGTTTGGAACTTGGTAAGACCAGTGTACTGAATGTGGGTCTCTCTCTTGTCCATGATAGTGTCGGTAGTAAATACCTTTTAAAAATTATTTTTTAAAGACTTTTAAGTGTATTTACTCACTGATGCCTTTACAAAGCTCACTGCTGTTCACAGTTCCTAGGGGACAGTTACTGAAAATGTGTGCCGACACTGACTGTATTTCTGAGGTTCCAAATAACCTAAGTCTAATCTAAAGGGCTAAATGTGTTGTCTCACCACTGATGAGGCCAGATATACCCAGAGATATCTAAATAATTGAAGTTACGTTGTTGATTCTTTCAGTAGAACATTTTTGAAATTAATTCTGAAAGGGACTTATTATGAAAGGAGCATACTTATTACACTGCATTTGCAATGTTTTCACATACAAGACATTGTAATGACAAATGATACTTTATATTTTGTCAAAGGTTTAGATAAACACTGCCTAACATGAACATGTGTGGGCATGCTGAACACCTCCTTTGAGAAGTCTGGCAGGCAACAACCTTCTGCAGGAGGCCAAACAAAGATGTTTCATATTTCCAGGCGTGAAGTTAAATATTTGCTATAAATGCAATTAACTTCCAACCATGTATCTGCCCATCTTCATGTATTCTTCCCCCTGAGGGATCTTTTGTTCTTCCAGGTGACAACTGAAATCAAGTTTTCAATGTCAGATTCTAAAGGTTTCACCAGATAGAAAAACAACAATGTAGCAAATTACAGCCCTGAGAAACTAACCACCGGGTTGTTCATGACAGAGAGCTCAAAGGCCATCAAAACAAGGCTTCTGGTGGCCTTTTTCTCAGGAACCACTTGTCAGAGGGATGTGTGCTGAATTATTTGAGTGATATGGAAGCCTTGATCGGGCTTCTTTTCCTTTGGAGGAAGTGCTCCTCATTCTTCTCATCATACGAGTTAAGAACCTGCCCCAAGTCAGAGAAGAGAAGCACCCATTCAGGTACTGAGATCTGGAAAATACTGCTGAGGAAATGCTGCTTTTCCCTTCCCTTTCCATGTGTGTGGAAAAGACAGCATGGGTGCAAACTGCAGCTGCACAGAAAAAATCTGCAGTAGGTCTGACTTCACATACAGAGGAATTTCTCTTGCTCTTGTGATACAGTGGAAAGATTTCATTTTTGTGGCATTACTATCAATACTATTTGTGTATAATCACCCAGGGGCCTCTGCTCGGGTGTGGTCTCTCACATCTGGCCAGTGCAAGCTTGGAATCTGATGACCAAAAAGCTCATGAAAGCCCATTATTAACGTGATATTTAATGGCAGGCTTCCGGTCCAAGTGTTGCTGCTCCTCAGTTCCTAAAACATGAGAAAGGCACTCGCAGCACAGCAGTGAATGAGAAAGCACGAACAAGGTCCTTGCTATTCAAGCACAGACTATGGTGACTACCAACCAGTGACTCTCTTTATGTCAATTGCCTTTACTCTTTGTAAAAATAGCAGATGATTCAGCAGCTGTCATACTTTTTTTCTCACTTTCCTCTCCCCGCCCCCATCCACACACCTACAGAGAGTGTATCTTGTAGAGGGAAATAATTTCTAGAGTGCAGGGGACAGAAAGTTTGGGTTGGGAGTCTGGGGAACGGAAAGACCATAGAAGGGGCTGGGAGAAGAGGACAGGAGGAGGAAGAGGAAGGAGAGGAGAGGTAGGATGCAGGCAGAGCACAGATCCCTCAGCAGCTCTCAGAGAATTACATTACATCACAGAGAAGGCCCCTAAACATGACTTAATCACCAGGAACAGCTGCAGTTTGACTCAGAAGCTCCCAGGAGCCTGGGGCTCTTTCTGGTCCCAGTCCTTCTCCGCACTGTCTGCCTATATCCCCTGGCAGAGCCCTTCGTCACAGCCCCACTTCAGCCTCCCAGCCCCAGCCACCAGCCCCAGCCCGATCCCAGGAGCTGCAGGATAGAAAGGACTAATATCCTTCTATTGCTATTATAAAAGTGTGTTTAATGCAAGTCACTGAAGGTTTATCATGTCACTGACATTTGGACTGAGGACAGTTAAAGAGAAATAAAGAAGCTATATTGTGTGGTCCTGCTATAAATACTCTAAGTTGGAATAAACTTTTCTGCATAGGTTAAGACCACTGGTACACCCACCAACCACTGAATTGTCATCAGTGTCACTGAAAGTGTCAGTGTCACAGAAGATCCTTATTGTCAAAAACCTTTTCAAACCTTTCAAACAAAACAACTTGCCTTTTGGAGGACTGTAAGTTCTGTTAATAAAGTAACCGTGATCACCGAATATATCTGGATTCCCTTGAGGCACCTGAGGTGGTACCAAATGATACAGACTTAAGAGAGAATGAGCTGGATTTACAAGCTGGTTCACAGACCAATCTCCAAGGGTTGCCATTGATGGTTATTGATGTGGTAGCAATGAGCTGAGTCCCAAAGGTCTCAGCTCATGGGCCAAAACTGTTTAATAGTTTTGTAGTTGTGACAATTACACAAAATCTGTGGTAAAGTTTGCTGCTGATAAAAAGTTTGTTTTGCTAGCAGATAATGAAGACAGATTACTATAAGAGCAATTTTAATTGCTTTATTAAGAGATACCGGCCCAGAAGTATTTTAATACAGTTAAATACTAAAGGTGATACTGTCTGGAGGAAACAATGACATAAATTGGATATATGGATCAAAGGCCTGGATTCTGGTGAGGACCGAGCAGTAACAGTAGAAAACCACCCCAGCATAAATTGTTGTCAGAAGAGCCAATGTAGTCTTTAAACATATCAGGCAAGAGTATTGCATAAGGCAAGGAAGCGACCCCATCTGTGTCCCCATACATATGAATGCTGTAGGCTCGTGTCTGGCAGCAGTCCCCGCACCACACCTAACACAACCCAAACACATCCACGCGGTGTTTGCGGACCCCAAGCTTCGCACCTCCTCAGCACACCCCACAGCTCTGAGCACTTTTCCCCTCTTCCCTCCCTGAGCCTGGTAAAATCTATTCATCTGCGGTGTCATCCGCTGCAGACTCCAGCCGTCCTCCAGCCCACTTGCTGGTGTTGTTCTTCTCCGCAGCAACTGCAGGCTCCAAAAGGAAAAGAAATTGGGAAGGGGTGGCACTAAGGGCACTGTCTCACAGAGGCATGAGGGAGGGTGGGGAGAGCTGCGCCATCACACCAGGAGATGGGAGTTTGGGGACAAAACTCCCCGAGTCCCACTAAAACCTACAGGTGTTTAAGAGCCTTCTTGTGGTTGGCAATTTCATGTCCCTTTTTATGTGAGTATATATATTTATACAGCATGAAAGGCTCCAGTGGTATCTGGGGAACGGTTCACGTGTCTGCCACGCACACACAGAGGGCCCAAGACCATGAGGAGGGCCTTGGCTCAGGGGCACGCCTCGTATCTTTTAGACGACTGGAGCGTTTTGGTCATGTATCCCGGGGCTTCGAGTACAACTCCTGGGCGGGACCGATGGCCCCCAAGGGTCGGAGGCCAGGCCGGCCCAGGCTGTTCCCTCAGGAGCGAGGCTGCCGGAGGAGCCCCTCGGCCGGCGCCAGGCAGCGGTCTGACAGGGCCACGGAGAGGCGAGCGGCGGCGACCCACGTCCCGCCGCGACCCACGCCCCGCGGCCGCCCGCAGGGCCCACCCCCACGGGTGGAGAAGCGAAGGCGGCGGCGCTTCCGGGCGACGCGGCTGACGCCAGGGCGGTGGGGCGGGCCGAGGGAGGCGGTAAGATGGCGGCGGCCGCCTGATGCCGCCTCCTCCGCCCCCGTCGCCGCTGAAGAGGCGGTGGCAGCAGCGCCCGTGTCCCGGCCCGCCCCACCCCGCCGCGCCGCAGCCCTCCCCCGCCGCGGGCCGCCCGGCCATGTAGACGGGGCGGCGCGGCCGCCTTTCCCCGCGCAGCCGCCCCTCCGCCGTCGGGCGCCATGGAGGACGTCGGCTCGGGCGTGAACGCGGACGCGGAGGTGCGGAAGCTGCAGGAGCTGGTGAAGAAGCTGGAGAAGCAGAACGAGCAGCTCCGCAGCCGCCACGGCGCCCTGCCCGCCGGCCCCGCTAGCCCCAAGCGCCTCCAGGGCGGCGGGCCCTCCCCGTCGCCCCCCGCCGCCTCCCCGCCCGACGGCCGCTGCCTCAGCCCCAGGGCCGCCGCCCGCCGGCCGCCCCCCGAGGAGCCCGGTGGCGGCGCGGCCGGCGAGGAGGGCAACGGCCTCCTGGACGACGCGGCGCTGCTCAGGCCGGAGGAGCTGGAGCGGTTGGCCGGCTGCGAGGAGGACGAGACCGGCTGGTGAGGGGGGGGGGGGCGGCCGGGGTGGGGATGGGGTGGGGGGGCGCCGTCCTTCCCGCACCCCCGCCGTCCCCGGGAGGAAGGCGCCGTCTCCAGACGTGCGCCCCGGTGTCGGAGGTGGGCTCGGGGCTTTGTGTCGGGGAGGCAGGCGGCCTCGCCCGCCGGGGCTGGATGAAGGGATCAGTTCCCCGGGTTGCGCTGAAGCCTGCAGGGGAAGCGTGGTGTGGTTTCTGCTCACCGCGTCGCACCTCCCCGGGGGCCTGCAGCTCGGTGCTTTTGTTCGGCCGCGGTGAGAGTATCGCATCGGGTGCCTTGGAGACCAAGGCAGGCTCCAGTTCTGGCTGCAGAATCGCTTTTCGGTGTTTTCACGAGTTCAGAAGGTGTGCGGAGGTGTTGAGAAACTTGTGGAAAATCGCTAGGGTAGCACAGAATTGGTTTGCAGCTACTGCTACGCTTCTTCAGACGTCTGTCAAACGTGTTTTAAGTCTTGATTTCTTTCAGCTGTGAAGATAGCAAATGTAACATTGACTTTCATCTCATAAAGGTGTTGTCCTTAGGTGTTTTCACTTACTGCTCATGATGTAGCACCAAGGTTTACCCTAGGCCGTTCCTCTCACTTGAAATGGACTGCTTACTCTGCTGCTTCAGCAGAAATGCTTGCAGGTGGCAGTTCACCTTGTCTTTATAACACTTGGATGAGCTTCTACTGATAATCAAGAAGGCTTGCTCTTTTTTAACATCATGCTGTTCTCCAGCTGGCTGCGAAGTCTCCTATGACACTAGTTGAGGGGCAGCATTAGAGCTGCAGGAGAAACAGTGGGGAGGAGAACAGTGTCAACAGAGAAACACAAGGGGAGCATGTACAGGGAGAAGTGTAACAAAAGCAGTCTGACTTGGATCAGAACTGGTTGTAGGTTCATCTACAAAGGTCTCATTCTGGAGTGAACATGTGGACAGATTTAAAAAACAAACAAACAGAAATGTCTTTCAGAGTTTAAAGACAACTTTTAAAATGCTGGAATGATTCCATACATGAGCAATGTTGTAGTTCCTCAGGGAGGAGACAATATGTGCACTTCCTTGGAGACGTCATTTGCCTGACATCCAGCCTGATCCGCTGGACAAGTATGAGAGCATAATTTTATTCTCATCCAACACGAGCTTACTAAATTAATATGAGGCATCATCTTCCAGATGATGAGTCTGTGCAAGGCAGCTATTCTTATTTCTCATCTTATGCCTTGTAGTCTACTGGTTTATAGCACGTGAGGGAAATCGAATATACTAAGTTTGCACAATAAGTTTGGAGTGGGAGGGCCAAATTTGTGAATGTCATGAATTCTAGTGACAACAGATGTTATTTTATATATTAATCCTAAATCATTGGCAACATAATGTATCTCTTCAGTGAAAGTTAATGTCACAGCAGAGCATATGGTGACAGTGATGCCATCAATGCTGTGTGGTTTTGTTTATGCAGTTCTGGACACTCATGGGCAGGTGGCATAGTTCACTGAGCGCTGCTCTTGCTTGTGTCAGGTGTTTGGCACATTACGCTGCCTGTTGTGATGTCACTTGTGTTTCTATTGGAAGTTCTAGTCCTCAGAAGACAACAAAACTTAAATGCAGTCTACTACATGTTTTCATTGCCTTCCTAATATTTAGCAACTATAATACTAATTTTCAATCTCAGACATGGGACAATGATTGAGACACAAAAACATGCACTTAGAAAAGAGCAGTTGTTAAAATTTACTTATCGTCTTACATATCAAGAAATATGGCTATGTAATTAAAAAAATGTCTTTTCATGCTATAGTTTAATATGCATTTAATGATAAATGTGGTTTGGCTAGATTGATGGTTTTGGTTTTGTTTTTGTTTTTTTCAAATTGCTCTGTAAAAATGGAAATCAAACTCTTGGAATTTCTGAGCGCCATTTAATTCAATTATTGAGGCACTAAGTATTCTAAGACCTTTTTTTTCTTATGAAGATAGGATGACTTTGTGCATTGGATGAATAGAGGTTATTGCTCTAAATGAAGTTGGAAATTTTCAGAGGGCTAGTGGAACAATCAAAAAGAAACAAGCCTGTGAAAATAGGAGGGATGACGTAAGTGGATTTTTCTTAAACTCTTTCATAAAGATCCCACTCTTAAGGCCTCGGTTATGCAGGGTCACTCAAAAAGTAATTGAATCAACTGAAAGGGTGAATGTACTTGATGAAATTGAAACATCATGTGAACTCTTTCAGGTTTAAATGGATTTGGATCACTACCGCTTAACCCAAAGTTCTGTTTAAACTATGGGATTGTTTAACTGTGGAAATCAAAGACTACTTACCAGCTGAGGAGGCTGCACATGGAAACACACTCAATTTAAATCACAGTTTGTGCATTAAAAAATTGATTCATCTTGCTTGTTTTGACTGTCTACATAGAGAAGCTTAGATTTGTCTTTGCTTTTGATTTCAGAAGGACCTTGCTGTGAGACATGATGAAGGGTGCTGGTTATTTCTGTTCTTCTCTGCTTTGTGTAATACAGGCATTTTTTCAGTCCATGTATTCATATACCCCATTATGAAATTGTCTGCAGTCTTGTAATGGCAGAAGAAATAGTGTTCTTCACTGCTAAAATTACGTTTTATATTTAATGCTCACATGAGGTTAATGTCTGTGAAGTTTGGCTATGAATTTAAGATGAAACAGTTGATACTGTGACTGAAATTGATACTGGAATGTGACTTGTTTTTCAAATCTATGTTTTGGATTTTAATTCTTTAAATGCCTTTATATAAGTCTACACAGGACAGAATTGTAAAGTGAAAAATTAAAGGAGAAAGTAAAACTAGCCTAAATTACTAATAAGTGAAAGGAACTTTGATCCTGCTGCTTTAGCAGCAGCATTAGCTATTAAAACAGCATTAAAGTATTAGTGTATGTTGGGACTTCAATTTTTTTGCTTGTTTGTTTTTCTTTGCTGTGGCTAGTTAAATCCAGACATGTTTTAGGTTTTAAACTAGCACATAAGACAATCTTAAAATCACATGGTAAATTACTAAATATATTTTGGTGAATATAAATTGAGCTCCTTAGCCATATGCTTCTGAATCACTTTTAACACGCTGAAACTTTCTTCCTGATAGAGCAGTGAAGGTTGCAGACAGGCACATACACACAGTACTGAGCTGCACCGAGGCCCACGGAGGCTTTGCTTCAGGCCTGCTAATTACTTCCTCAAGAAGTTACCAGTGACTTTGGTAATTTATTCTATGGGTGTTGCTATTTAGTTGTTCTTGAACCAGATTGGATCAAATCTAAATTTTTTTCTAATTTCCATCTGAACAGGTCTTTTATTAATTAATTAAAAAGGAAAAAGGACAGGAAGGGGGACCGGAGAGGAGATGTCTTCTGAGAGGCAGGATGAGGTACACGGTTCCTTGCCTGACTTGCTGGGTAAGGCTGGGTGTGTAGCACATTTAAGACAACTTGGCAACAGTGCACAAAATGTCTTGCTATGCTTCTTTTTAAGAGCTGCCCCAAGTTTATTGCAGGTTAATGTGCACACGAGGGCAATTACTGTAGTTTAGTTAGTGTGCTGTGAATCCACTGTAACTTGCTTTGTGGTTACTTGTTACACAGTCACTTACCTAAACTTTCGGAGCAGCTTTTTTTTAAATGTGAGGAAAACACACAGTGCTTTTTCTTTAAAATTTATATGCAATATGTGCGTAAAAGAGTATAGAGCTTGCTGTGTATTAGTTTTGTACGTATAATTGCTCAGCAAACTTCAGAACAGTTGCCTCCTCTTTAAATGATAGTGCTATAAAAGTTAGCTGAGCACTTATCAGTGTTTTCACGTCACTGCAATCTGAAGTCTCTTTGGTAGGGCTGATATAGCTAACAGCTGACTGACTTCACTTACAAGCAAAAGGCAGTTACTGTGTGTTTAAAGTGAAATTGCTGGAGGGTTGTTTATATTAATAAATAGTTCAAAGTAGTATTTTTAGTGGTTTTGAAGACCTCACATTGGTTTGGTATCCTGTTTAGTTAAAATGGAAAGCAAGTACTTTTACTATTATACACATTCTCATTCAGCAGCCATTTCTATTATATTGGCACCTATTTTTAATAGTCTATGTTTCTGTTGTAGTCATTCATTACAGTTAGCTAAGTGGCTCTTTTGAGATACAGAGGATGAAAATGTGGTTGCCATCTGTAATGATTGTCTTTCAGTTTATGTTGCTGAAACATGCTCCTTTGAGGACTAACTTTGTTTTGAAACCTTAAAAGTTTGTCATAGTGAGCTAGTAAAGTGTAGGGTGAGTGTTTTAGGACAGAGCTGCACTTGAATGAACTCCCATTGCTGAAATTACATTGCAGCATTTCTTTTTCAGTTGTTGAAATTACATTGTATTAATGTGGTTTAGGCCTCCTGGAAACTGGGCAGCTCCTGATCAATTCTTGCCCTGTGACCTAAGTAAAAGAGAAATTGATGCTTTTCATTTTGTGGCAGATTAAATGTAAATCTGATTTAAAGTGGGCTTTTTTAATCCAAATTCGCATAATGGCTTCTCGAACTAGGAAGATAATTTGAGAAGCATGTGAGAGAACTAAGGATGAGGGAAGTTACCACTTTGTCTAGTGAAACAACTGGTAAAACATAAAATAATACTCCGTTTCACTACTGTCTTTGAGATACCTATATTTTTGTGAAATGGATATTTGAGGACTGTAGGAAGATTATTTTTTTCCATTTCTAACTTCTTATGGCTTTTATACATTTTTGATATTATGAAAGCTTTGATACAAATTTCTTTTACCGTCTTAATGGTATTCCTGAACTCTACCTCATAATCACGTCTAGTTTAGGTATGATTCACATTTCTACTTTCTGTAGGTGTTGGTATAGGTTTCAAGACTAGTAATTAAGCAGACTTATATTTTGGAATACAATAGGACACAGAACTTCTCAACTTTTCTCTGTTCTATGAAAGGATCAACAATGCTAGGTTAGAGCATATATGCTCTAGCAAATTCCTTCTGAAAAGCTTCTCAAACAGTGGACAGTTATACAGAGTTTGTGTGACAGTTCTGGGGGAGCTACGTGATGGTGTTACAGGAGTCTTCCAAGCTTTTGAAGGCCCCTTTTCCCATTCTACAACATCATTTTCAGACAGCAACATGTTCTTTTGAGATGAGGAAATGAATAATGGCTATAATTTCCAGCAGCTAGCCAGAGCACAGCTAACTATCTTTAATTGTTGGTGACAGGAAGGTAATTGTGTTCCCAGTCGCACTTTGCAGCCTCTCTGAATCCTCTCAATTCTACTTGAAAATTGCATCATGTGGTTGAGACGTGCTGCTTTAATATGTAGGTTCAATGAGATTGTCAAAGCATTTTTGTAGAATTGATCTCCTTATTTTGGGAGGCCTAAGTTTTGCTGTAGCTCATGCGTCTCAGAACTAGAAGCGTTCAGTTAAGTATACCACCAAATTAAGAATTACAGGCTGAGCAGTGTGTTTCAGACAGTTACAACTGCAGGATAGGAACTTTGTAAGGATGTGGGAGGAAGCAAGAGGAAATCTGTGGGCCAGAGATGTGCAGAGATGTCATTTAGTTTTTGAATTGTGTTTTGGTTGTTCTGTTTGTTTTTGTTTGTGTTTTGTTTTTTTGTTTTACAACTAGAGGTTCTTTTCAGATCTTTACCTGCAGCTGTTTATTCAAAATGCATCTTAAAATTTAAGTTATTTAAATGGCTCCAAATAGGATTTCCTGAAAATTTTAGATAGATCTAAAAGTTCAGATTGACACTCTTGTGTTCTAAATTGTCTGTTTCCAAGACTGTCCAATATTATTGTCTCCAGTTTATTTTTAGTAGCTTTTAATTGTGCAATTTCCCTCCTAGATTTGAGGGGAATTTCTTAATGATCTGTCCTTAGGTTTCTATTTTTTCTTCACATCTTCTCTTCAGGTTGCTTTCTTGATCCTGCTTTTGCCTGCAACATGTTTTGTCCGATCTCTTGTTTCATTGCCTCTGTCGTACTTGCTGGTTTTCACTGAAAGCTAATGTAGCTAAAATAAACGAGCTCTAACATAAGTTCCTTCTGCTTGTCATCTTCTTTCTAATTCAGATCTGTGACTTCATATTCATCTGCATGTTTTTCCCTCACTGTTTTACTGAGCCATAGAAGGATTTCGAGACAAAGACTCTTTCTTCCTGATTAGAATCTTTCCTTTATTTTTATGCTTGTGACAATGCCTCTTGTATTTTAGTACACTGGGAGGTGTTTAGGTGAGGTAGTCCCTATATGGATATTCCATTCCTACCTCAGTGTTGTGTCCTCTTTCTTCAAAGCCTTTTCTGACTCAGTTGTGTCCCTGTGTAATGTGCTACAGCTTGCCCCATTTGGCTGACATTATCATATGAGCTTGTAGTGACAGTAGTCTTTCCACAAAAGCTCTGCCCTTTTTGTGATGCATCTTCCTGGCACTAATCAGTAGAGCCCTGGCTGCTTTAAACTTCAGGTTGGCACTGCTGTGGCACAGTTGACTAGTGACAGCTGAATCATAGTGTACAGCAGAATCATAGTGTCTGGGTTTCTTATTGCTGTTTCAAAATAGATTGAAGCTCCTGGGCTTCTTTTTATATGCTGTTTTCTTGACCTTGTGTCACAGAATTGGAGAGTCTTTAGTCTCTCGTGGAGAAATTGGAGTGTAGGTTTCTGGTGTGTTAACATCTGTAGTAGGAGTGGTAACTGTAAGCTGTCAGCTTCCTCAATGTTTTTCAGCTTCCTGTTTTGAGAAAGTGATTTAGTAGTGTTTAATGATGTATGAAGTCATACTGGTAATCTGCAATCTTGGAAGTTGCGGTACTGCCAATTAGTGGTGTTGCATTGCTGTAGAATGCATTGACGCATAGAGATGGGAATGAATCTCTTCTGGAAGTCTCTAGCTAAGGAGCACCTTTATCTTTTGAGTCAAACAGTAGTTTGACTAAGATCACTTACCTGTGTGAAGTTATTTGTACATGCTTCAGAGTCTCCTTTTTGTTCTTTTCCTTCCTGGTGGAAGAAGGGAAGCAATAGTAGAAGCATCACTCTGATTCTTAGCCTTGCCCTTTGTCTTATTTTTTTTTTAATCCAAATTAGGCAAAGCCAGTAGAATTAAGTCAGCTTCAAAATTTGAGATTGTCTGTTCTTTTTGTAAGATGGGAAATTAAGAACACTACTTTATAAATGAGACAGTAATTGCATGATGTGCAAGAAACTGTCCTGAAAGAACTATCGCGTTACTGCACGTGTTTGTCATGAGACAGTGGAGTTGCATGAAAGACGTGTATTATCAAGGTCTGTCTTTTCTTGAAATATAAGGTGTGAAACAAAGGCTGTTAAAGGAAAATCAGTTGACTGGAAAGTGGTGGGAGAGTGCAAGATATGTTTGGTTAGAAAGGGAGGTGGAACAGTGGGAGCCTGAGCCTGGATGGCTTCAGTAAATAAACTACTTGTGAAACAAATGCAACAATTGGAAATTGCAGAAAAAAGTATGTTGGAGCTTAACATACCAGATGCTATTTTGATTAGAGTAGTCTTGTTGAAGATATCCCTTTTGTGTGTCTTTCAAAGAGGATATGCACTTCAATTTCTTGCCTGGGTATTACTGTAAACACTTCAAATGTGCATGGAACTCCTCAAACACAGCAAGGCATGTCAGCTATCCGGAGAACTGGGATTCAGTCTAGCCTGTACAGCACTAAAGTTGGCTTTGTTGCTTTTGACACTTCTATATACTATGTAAACATACCTTAAGACAGAAAAAAGTACAGGCAAATAAATACTAAAAAGACAGTAAATTCAAAGTGTTAGAGAGCTAGTAAGTGTTAAATATTACTTTTAACTATATGCAGATAATTGCAGAAAGGACAGCAATTTGTGTAACTGTTTACATAGAACTGTAAAAACTGTGTGATTTTTGTGCTTTCCAAGGATCTTCAGGGCTATAAATTTGTGATGGGCTTTCAGCTTTGCTTGTAGGCAGAGTGCCTCTGAAAATTGTAAGGATTTCTACAAAATCAATTTTAATGACTGGCATTATACTGGCCAAAGCATAAGCCAGGTGGACTGTAGTATGTGGCAGTGGCTATTTACATAGTTACAGACAGCTTCATTTTTGTTTGAAAACCTGTCAGCTAATGAAAATCCTCTTTCCTGCATTTGCAAACAGCTTTTTAATTTCAGTGTTCATAAGGGAGGAGTATTTCAGAGCATGCTCTAAACAAAGCGATCAGTGTTTTGGGTGAGATATTTGTGGTAGTTTTGCAAGCATGATTTTTAGGAAACTTTTGTGAGTGACCTTAAGGGTAGTAATTAAAAAAAAAAAAAAAATCTTTTAAAGCTGTTTTATAAAACCAACTGAGCTCAAGTTCTAGTATTACAGAGGAAGGATCAGCTAATAGTCTTGTAATAGAGCTGTGGTAAATAACCTGTGTTGCTGGTGTCATTGTCATAAAGGAAACAAGAATTTTTGCTGTCTGTTTTGTATGGAAGTATGGCTGATTAGGCTGTTAAATGTTCCTAAGTTAGTGTGTGGCATAAAACCATATTCACTTGGAATATGAAGTCTGTCATTACTCCTAGAAGAAACGCTCGTTTAACTATTTCTGCATATCCGTAAGCTCTAGTTAGAGCTGTAGATCTTGCAGTTCACTGTCTTTTGCTGAAGCGTATTCCAAGTTTGGTTCTAGTCCAAAGATAAGGCTTAAATATCCTTTTTTGAATGTGTGATCATTTATGACGACTTCTTCAACAAACAGATTAAAGGAACTTTCATCTAAATTTCTAGAGCCTTTAAACTGGAATACTTTCTTCAGTCTTGGAGTGCTAATGTTAAAATAAATGAATGGAGATGCTGATGGGCAAAGGCCTCATCATGTCCCACAGAACAATATGATCTCACTGTTTTTCTCTATGTGCCTTATCTCTTGTTCCTTGTTTTTAATTCTTGATTGTATACCCCTTCGGACAAAGATAGTCCCTTTGTTCTGTGTTCAAAGGAAAACTGAAGGATCAGGTGCTAGGATAAAATTATAAATAAAAATAAAATGTTTACTGTTCAAGGCTACTGAAATAGTAGATGTGTTCTATGCAGTTTAGCACTGTTCCTTGGCTGTTAAGGTGTTTATCACTTGCTACATCTTTGTGTTTAGGAAGACAACAGTTGCATATTGCTTAGTGCTTTATTTCCTTCTTTCAGGTGAATGCTACTTAAATCTGAAAAGTAAATCCTGATTTGTATATTTATGTGACAGTGAAATTGTCCATATACCAAAGATGTCTGAAAAGTGAAGACTACTTTTTTTTTTATTTCCTGGCATATTGGTTGGTATATCTCAGTGTAGCAATATAGGCATCACTTCTTGCCAGAAGTCATTGGGTAGCCATATTTTATCAGTATTACACTGTAATCAAAATGGTTGATTTAGAGGTAAAACTTGTGCTTTCTTTGTATTTTGGGACTGTACTGTAGGTATAGTATAAAAACAGAAATTGCATAGTAGGTGGTATTTTGTTACATGACTGATCTCATGCTGATTTTGTCTGTCTTCATAGATATTTTTTTAAATTTATTTTTTTTTTTCCCCCTCTTCTTTTCAGGTTATATATGTCCCCAAAGAAGAAACTGACTCCAGTGGAAAAATGTGTCAGTCCATTAGTTTGGTGCAGGCAGGTATTGGATTACCCAAGTCCTGACGTTGAATGTGCTAAAAAGTCGCTGATCCACAGGCTGGAACAGACAATGTCAGGTGAGTTCCTGCATAACAGCACCACTGGGTTGTACATGTTTACTCTGAAACAGAGTCAGAATTAGCTGATCGATAGTTGTGAGAGAAGAGGGTGAGGTCCAGCAGTTACTTCTGTCTAAAGTTTTAATTATGGCTTGCAAACAGTAATTCATTCTATTAATTTTCTGAACTGTATGAATAAAATGAAGGGAAGCATTAGACCACGAGTCATGATTTCAGAGTTTTATACTACCTGCATAGTTACAGTTTGGTCAGAAGTTTTCAGGAAGAAGCAGTGTCCTTAACTTAGAGGTTTTCTTGTCTTATTTTAAAATAGAAGCCTGTATTAAACTATTGTAATTCTTAGGGGCTTGTCAGATGTTAACACAGAACTTAGTTTTCTGCTAGAGGCTGAAGTTGTTGAACACTTTGAGGAGGTAAGATCTTGTCACAGTCAGATTTAAAAAATTCAGAGTTCACGAATCTTCCTTGATACAAATTAGTTGGTGACATTCAAAACTGGTGAAGGACTGAGCATTTGGCTCTGTGAGGATGAAAGCCTACATTCCCAACCCTTTTATTCCCAGCCTTTCTGATGTCAAACCAGCAGCAAAATGCTGAAGGTCTGATTAGAATTCTTTTTCCATCTGGTTTCTTGCTTTATTTAAATTTCTTCGTTAGAGCCTATTTTTATTTAAAAAAAAAATATACTGAGACATAATATTACTTTCTTGCTATTCATATCTATTCTCTCCCTCTGTTTCCATCTTTTTGCAGTCTTCTGCTATGTGTGTTCTATCTTTTTTTTAACTGTTGTTATCTTCAGAAATTAGCAGAATGGCTGGATTTGAACTAGAAATATGTGAACACACAGTTCCAGGAGCGTTTCCAACTACCAGCTCCTTATACATGGTTATACATAAACTTTGTGCTGAGTTTATTTAACTGTAACTTTTTTTCCCCCCTTGGATTCTTTTATGGAACAATTCAATCTTTATTCTGGTTTATACTAAAGCCATACGTAATAAAATTTGAAAACATTTCTAGTGGACCGTGTGAAAAGTCCATTTCTTATTCTTATAAAAATTGTGGGCATAATGGTGAAAGTGCCTTCAGTATGAGTCACGTTTGATCGTCCCCTATTTCTTGTGCTTTGTGTATGCTGCCTTGACAAAAGTCTAGTAACATTTTTGCTGAACAGTTGTCACGATACAGGCAGAGACTGAAATTCTAAACATTGAGAAGTACCCAGGTCACAGGGATTTATGAATGATGGTACAAGTTTGGGAATTTGAATACTACTCAGTATTTAGGACTGGATAGCAGCTAGGTTAAACATGAACAATTCTGTTTATGGTTTAACTTCTTTTTAGAACTGAGTAGAAATCTTCCAGAAGTACCACAAATTCTGTTACCCTTAGGGTATCTTTAAAAACTCAGTCATGGTTGATTCAGAGTGGCAGGAAGCTTCCCTATGAAATGGACACACTTGAAAGTTTGATCATTCCAATAATGTGTCTAGGCAAATTTACCTCTTTTTTTTTTTTTTTTTTTTTTTTTTTTTCTTCTCCCTATAGACCCGAGAATCTGCCTCTAGCAGTGATACTTGCAAGAATACCACAATTCACCTATAGTACTAAAAGGGAAAAATATTAGTGGTAGAAGAGATGGACAGTAATACTGCTGGTTGAAGCAGATTGCATGGAAAAATGAATTTGTAACAAAAAATAGAATTGTCCTTTACAGCAACCAGTCTACTTACAGATATAGGATAGCAGGAACCTCCACTGGAGAAGGCAGGTAGTGCTGCTCGTAACCTTCTGTGTGTTCCTACCCCACAACTTCTGGAATAGTTTATGACTTGTATTTTACATAGTACTTGTACCTCATGGACCCATCCTTTAACATGTTACTAGCTGCTGGTTCAGTTCATCAGTTTCAGTCCCAGTCTCTGTAGATAAGTTTTTCATTCTACTGTTACTTTCTCTTCTGAATCACAGAATGGTTTGGGTTGGAAGGGACCTTAAAGATCATCTAGTTCCAACCCCCTGCCATGGGCAGGGACACCTTCCACCAGACCAGGTTGCTCAAAGCCCCGTCCAGCCTGGCCTTGAACTCACCACTCTCACAGGAAAGAATTTCTTCCTTACATCTAAACTAAATATATCTTTTTTCAGTTTAAAACCATTACCCCTCGTCCTATCCCTACACCCCCTGATGCAGAGTCCCTCCCCACCTTTCCTGTAGCCCCCTTTAAGTACTGCAAGGCCACTATAAGGTCTCCCCAGAACCTTCTCTTCTCCAGGCGGAACAACCCCAGCTCTCTCAGCCTGGCCTCATCAGGGAGGTGCTCCAGCCCCCTGGTCATCTTTGTGGCCTCCACCGGACCTGCTCGAGCAGATCCATGTCCTCATGCTGGGGGCCCCAGAGCTGGACACAGCACTGCAGGTGGGGTCTCACCAGAGCGGAGTAGAAGGAGAAGAATCACCTCCTCCAACCTGCTGGCCACACTTCTCTTGATGCAGCCCAGGGTACGGTTGGCTTTCTGGGCTGCAGGTGCACATTGCTGGGTCATAGTTATTTGGCTAATTTTGATCTCAGTGATAGACTTAACTAATGAGTGTTTTAAATTACTACAGGAACAGCTAGAATAAATTGGTCGCTTAATTGTAACAAAAATAAATATAACGTCTCTAGCACTTGGAAAAATTGCACCCGATTCATGCAGTAGATCTTCTGAACCACCTAAGCATGAGTGTTGTGCACTCAAATTTTTCTATTCCTATTTTCTAGAGCAAAAGAGAGTTTCAAGACCAATTTAACTAAATATTAAATGAAATAAATTAGAAGCTGCATACTGTTCCTGAATGTTATAAAAGAAAATTTACATAAAAAGAAAAACGTGGATCATTAACTCTCCCCTCTAGTGTTTTGAAAGCTAATGTGTAATCTTTTGTAAGCTAGTGTTTCATCTAATACAGCATAATTTTAATGTTAAAATGAGTTATCTGTCTTACTAATGTTGTCTGACACTCCTAATAAAGACCATATCTCTAGCTGTTGTAAAAATAGTAATGTCTTCCTAAGTTACAGAAATCCCTGTTGGAAAAACTTTAGGAATTCTAGGCCAGAAAAATGGTTTGAGTCTAGTTTTTTTTTTTCTGGGGAAAAATACAGGGCTGAGGAAGGTAGAAGTTCACATTAGCTGGAATGAAATTTGCTGTACCATGTAAAGAGTCATCATGTACCACAGTGTACTTTTTATATGTAACAAAAGTATGCCTTCTTTCATCTGAAGAAATCTGTGATCAAATATTTTGTATCATAATGGTTATGTACAAAGGGCCTATTTTAAAGGTTATAGAGTAGTACAATTGTTTTCTAATTTGTGGCTAGTATTTTAAAATACTTGTCTATGTAATAAGTATAAAATAAAGAACTGTTGTGCAGACATATTTTAGGGTGTTTTTTTTTTTCTTACTGTCATTTTCAGCAAAAGATGAAAAGTAAATTTTTTTGGCATGAGAACAAAGATTCGGTTGCAATAGATGCTTTGGAGTTCCTGTGTGCATGCCAGAAGGAGCTGTCTCATCAGAATTAACCAGAATACAACTGGCTTGTGATTTCTGGTTTTGTTAACTGAGCTCTGTAATAAAATGGAGATGTCCCTTCTGACACACTCGAAATAAACTGGAGATACCTCAAGAATGCTTGCTAGAATTCACCGATTGCTAAAATTAATGCATATCATTTAAGACTTGCAGTGAATGCTGGAATATAAACTTTCCATCCCCAATCTATAACTGTCTTTTCACTCTAATTAAAACACCAGTAATACTAAGTGGTTTAGACTCCAGAAAGGATCTTTACATGAGGTATAATTTCAGGAATCTACTGCAAAGTCAACTTTAATTTCTGCTGCTTCTGTGCTGTACTCTGCCATCCATTCGCTTTAGTGTAGTCTGGATAATCGTGCAGCCCCACCATTGCTTGTACTGAACAACTGAGGTAGTGACCAAGAACGAAGTGGGGTGGGAAGAGGAGCTGAAGCAGGCTTTGATGCTGAAAGCAGCATTTCATTTCATGTCTGTTTTGGGGTTCTTGTAATGTTAAAACAAACAATCTTACACTGAATAAAAGGCTTTTTAATAAATCAGAGTTCAGTTCTTTGTTTTGTTTGCTACTATCAGTAGCCTAATTATTACTGTGTTAATTGAAGCCTTTTTTCAGTAACAGAAATATCACACAATATTCTTTGAATGGCCTAATTTCTGCCTTTTTTTTTTTTTTAAGAACTTCTTGAGCGTACTGCCATACATTTGCCAGGCCTATTCTTGTCCGTTTATGATATGTATGCATAGTTTCAATACTGTTGTGTCTTAAAGAGAGTTTAGTTTCTAGCAGCTAGGTGAGCTGCAACTTAATCTAATCTAGATTTCCATATCATAAAGTTTGTATTTCTAGCTTTCAATTTAATGTTTTTCAATTTAATTTGTTTTTTGTTAAAATGCAGTTCTCTTTGGCATAGAATACTTTTAGCAGTGAAGGAACTGGTTTTACCAAAAGAGACCAAATTTCCTTTGGTTCCCTCTTCCCACATTGAAGTTCCATTTTCTCTTATTTTAAAATGAAATGTAAATCTCTGGACAAAGTAGTCATTTAAGTAACTATACAAATCATACACCTAGCAACTAAGGGAATTGCAGTATCATACTGAAAATGTTCACCAGTGATTAAAATTAATCTGAAAATACTTCAGCATTGAAATATATACAATAAATAGCAGAGAACAGTACCCAATTTTAGATCTTTTATTGCATATGGGGTTGAAGCCTACAGATATAAAAATCCCAAAGCATTAGAACAGGAGATATACAGAAGGTAATAATCCCGTAGTCAATTTGCTTTATTGTGCCCAGTAGGTTCTTGGTGCCCAGAAATGTAAACAGAAGCATTTGTCATGCTTAATGGTTTTTCATTTTAGCCTGTGCTTTGGGGAATTTTGTAGGTGGTATTGCACAGTTCTGTGGTGCCAGTCTTGGGGTTACTGTTGAAATACTGTGTGATCTAAACAGGTCTGTGAATTCTGGAGAACCAGACGTCATGGTGTGCTCTGGTTTGTGTGTAATCGTACATAGGATGTATGTTAGTGTAGCTTAGCTACTGTTGTCTTTTGAGTTGTTTACTTCTTCCTTCCCAACACCTACGTTGGACATCTTGAAGAGATTGGTTGTAGTGATCTTTGATCTGGTTTTTACAAGGAAAATATTTGTTGCTATCTTGTCTTGCTCTCTTCTTCCACTCCTTCCCCAGTATGGTTGTACCTAGGAGATGAAGAAATCAGTTGAAAAACTTCCTGGTGACTGAAATATGCTACTTGAATTGTATAGTAATTAAATCACACCGAACCTATCATGTAGCATTGTATTCATTTTTCCTTGGTTCCTTCAATATCGTTTATCACTTTTCTCCTCTTTTATCCAGCTCTCAAGAGACAGAGTTTGTACAGCAGCCCTTTCAGTGCGGTCAGTTATGCGAGCTCCTATAGTCCAAATACGAGTAGTCCCTACAGCAGTGGTTTCAACTCTCCCTCCTCAACACCAGTGAAATCTGCTTTAGTGAAACAGCTCATACCTCCCAGTACCTCAGGTAAGCGTGTGTGTGTCTGGTCTCTCCCTTTCTTATTCCTCTTGCATTTATAAACATGTGCTCAAATAGATAACATTTGCATTGAACTAGAGTAAGAAAGACACCAAAAACTTGTCATTTTTTTGTAGAATGCGTGCATCATGCAGTATTTAAGTTTTTTAGGAAAGGTTTTTTTGCAGATTTTCTGGCGTGAGATACATTTAAAATGTTTTCTCGGGATGTTCATGTCCCTAAAATCCCTGATGCATATTGGCAGTTATACCAAAACATGTGTTAGTTCTGTGAAGTCCCAACACACCTAAGCATCTTCTAGAATTGGCCTTGCAATTGACTGGGATGTAAGCTACATAGTGGGTGATTAAAGGTTATGTGTTTGTAGTTGTAAAGTCTTTGCAACTACCCTATTATTTATTAACTGAAACATTTGGTATGCATCAGTACCTCTGAGATGTGAACAATATAATCTAAGGAGGAAGCATATATGTTAATTAAAGGCATTCCACAAGGCTTTGCAGCCATCAACGTAAACACTAACTTCTGGCAATGTTTTCTACCTTTATCCTGTGCCACAGACACTTTCTTTACCTCAGAAAAATTGATGCCTGGAACATATCTCTACTCTGAAGTCATAATAATGGCTTATTATATACACTTTAACTCATGTTAACTTGCAGGGAAGATGAAAAACATTGCATTGACAATCCAACTATCTGTAGTTTGATATGGGCTTGTAAAGAGAAGCCTGCACTGCAGTATATTCACCAGAGCAATTACTCAGACTTTGGTTTAACCAATGTAGCTCTGCTCTGCACTGTGTGCTGCAGTGCTTGATCTGCCCGTGGGACAGAGAGATGAAAGGGTGATAGGGTGTCAGCCGAAAGGCATCAAATGGGCAGTTTTTCTGGTATGTTATAGTTTAGCTAAGATGTGTACCCAGAACAGGTAGTATTTTCAGATAAACTGTGTATTAAGCGTTCCAAACTGAATCAGTATTCATTGGATCAGGTCCTTATTGTCAAGAACGGTATAGTCAAACTTGTACGTTACAGGGTAGTGTGCAGACACAAGAATTGAAAGCACAAATTGAACAGGTATACAGCTGCACTTTCTGTAAGTTACGCAGACTTCACAGCAGTTGAAACTTGGTACATGTAGACAAGATGATGCATCATTAATTTGTTTTGCCACCATTATAATGATTTTATGAAGTTGTTAATTTTTAGAAAGTAATGGCTAAGCTCTGCTTGTGTAAATTGTATTTTCAGCCTAGGTTCACAATCAAATGTTTCAAATGGTCTGTCATTTGAATGTCTCGGTCATAATGTGTTTTCAGATTGGTGGTCCTTTTACTAGGAAAGGAAATACAGTTTGCGTTTTCTGCTCCCCCTTTATTTTTTTTTTTTAACGTGTCCTATTTTCTTTCTCTAGGTCATCTTAAAAGTTCAGCGGATAGAAATCCTCCACTAAGTCCACAGTCCTCTCTGGACAGTGAATTAAGTGCATCAGAGATGGATGAAGACTCTATTGGGTCTAATTACAAGCTAAATGATGTTACAGATGTGCAAATTTTAGCAAGAATGCAGGAAGAAAGTAAGTATTTTCCATCCTGAGAACAAAGTGGAGCACTTGACCTTTATTGACGACACCTTTTTTATAGTGCAGTAGCACTTGCTCAGCGGGAATGAAAAAGGGGTGTAGATTCTACTGTGGATGTATAAATATAATTCTCCTGAAAAGGCTGTCTAAGGACTTCTGCCTCCAGGAAAAGGGAACGAAGTTTCTGTGCTGAAATGCTCCCTAGGAACAGTGGACAAAAGAAATACTAGAGAGGGTATGAATTTGTAGCAAACAATATATGCTAAAAGGATGGTCATTAGACTGGACTACTGCTTGCCACCAATCTTCTCAGGAGATATGTGCCTTCCTGATGTAATCTAGTCTTGTTGACATCAGTGCTTAAACCATGATTTAAATCCCCAAAATGTAGTCAGTATGGCAAAGAATAGTTAAGAAAAGCACCTATGTAGACGTCTCTCTTTTACTATGGGTTTAGTTGAGACTTTGCCTTTTGGCCCTCTGAGACTGCAGAAAGCGGTAGTAATTTCAGTTGTCTAACTAGGTGGTGTCCAGAATTTTTTATTGCATACTCCAGTTAGTGGAGGGAGAAAAAGAGAAAAACAAACAAACAAACACAAAAAAAACACACACAAAAAAACCAAAACAAAACAAAAAAAAGAAAAAAAAACAACAACAAAACAAATGCCCAATATATGTGTATTTTTTAAACTAAATTATATTAATGTACTACTCATATATTACGTACACAAAAACACAGAAATGTACACAAAAATATAAATTTTAAAAGGATGAGGTAAAGATTAAGTAAATGCTATTTTAAACATATAAGTAGTACAAAATTTTCTTCCTGCACCCAAGTGGATTGTTTTGCATGCACCCCACTTTATAGACCACTGGTCTAACAACTCTAGTTTCTCTAGGGGTACCTTATCATACAGCTTTTTTTGTTACATTTACTAATAATTTGTAAGAGACGTTTCACTGTGGCTGCTATAATTGTTATAGGATGTTACATGATATCAGAATTAAGGTGTAACCTGTGTTGCTTGTATCTGGGCTGGGAGAGGAGATGAACAAGTACACGACACGCCTATACTGATGATTGCTGTAGAAGGGAAGGGAATGAGGTCACCTACTTGTTTCAAGACATCAGCTGGTAGATAACTTTTTTAGGTACTAATCTGGAATTAATGCCTCTGAAGGAGTTAAGGTGAGCTACATCTGAGTTGGAGCACTGGATAGATATTTGTATGCACCGTCTCTAGTTTGAACCATTTGTGGGCTGGAAGCAAGTAAACAATGTTCTCATTGCTGCCAGGCCTCCGGCAAGAGTACGCGGCATCTGCTTCTCGGCGTAGTTCTGGGTCTTCTTGCAATTCTACGAGGCGAGGCACGTTCAGCGATCAGGAGCTCGACGCGCAGAGTTTAGAAGATGAAGAAGATGGCACACATCACTCGGTGCACCCTGCTGTTAACAGGTTCTCACCATCACCTCGCAGTTCTCCCTGGCCTTCACCAAAACAATCTCCAAGGAATTCACCTCGCTCCCGATCACCTGCTCGAAGCATAGAATACAGTAGAGTGTCACCCCAACCTATGATTAGCCGTTTACAGCAACCTCGTCTTTCGCTTCAAGGCCATCCTGCAGATCTGCAGACGAGTAATGTCAAAAGTGAAGGTAAAAAGCTCTGTCTCAAACTCGTTACACAAGTAGCTGTGTAGTTCCCATAGAGGATTTTGGTCAGTGTGCAGTGCTAAAACTATATGCGTATGTAACAACGTGGTTTAATCCGAGTTGTTGAAGAAGCAGAGCAAGCAAAGTTTGAGTTTTGCTGGGGAACCATTGCAGCCAGATGAGTTAATAGGCTTATGTTTATTTTAGGTATTGTACAGTCACTCTGGGTGTAATTGAGTTTCATGGTGACTGAGTTCTATCTTCGGCAGGCAAATGGACTAAAATAAAACAGAGCCCAAGGGAAACTATCATTCACCACCAGGGTTAGGCCTCACAGGTGATGGAATAAAATGCAGGGAAAGTAGCTGTGGTCAGATAAGAGTAACGTGGCAATTTATGCACAGCTGTAGCTTGTGAGGTAGCTGAATGATTTATTCTGACTGTGCAGGACTCTGAACTGTTTGAGCATGAACATAGCCTTGAAAATATTAGTACTTAAGTCATGCGTTCGCTGGATATTTCAGGTATCTCAAAGCAGTGCAAACTGCTGCATAACAACATATAAAGCTTGCAGTAAATGTGACACAATTATACTACATCAGCATAGAACAAAATAATGTAATCCTGACAAGATTTTACTTTTTGAATATACTTTTTCCTGGTATCAGGCTGGCAGAAACTTCTTTAGCCTGAAATTTCACAAGCATATTCCAATTTTAACAAATGTAGTTGTTATCTGGGAAAAAAAAAATATATATGTAAAATTCAGAAAGACTGTATGTTTAGATATGAAGAATTCACCTTATTTTTTTCATCTTTCAGGTAAGCTGGATGCAAAATGTCCACAGTACAGATGATGTAGAAATGAATTTTTAAACTGCTTTTTCTGTGGTGTTTTTTTTATCGTTGACATCCCCCTCCCCCAATACAGCAAATACATCTATGCCACTTACAGAATTTAATTGACTAAGAAATTTTAGAATTTTAATCAGGGAAATCAGTGTACTAGGCTAGAGCTTTTGGGGAAGATGATCCTGCAAATTTAACTAGCTATTCAGGAATATCTTTGGAAAGGTTAGCATAAGTCTCACCTAGTAATAGTGGTTTAGGGAAATTTTAGGTATGTAGAAAAATGTACAACACAAAAGCTAATCAATTATGTTGTGACTTAGTTGAGAATTCCTTTCCCATTCTTTTCTGGGGTTTCGTTAAAGTCCTAATGCATGCTAGATAAGTGGCAACAAAAATATCCCATGAGAGGCAAGGTACCAAAAGCTGGTATCCCACATACCAGCGGGATCAAAATAGAGTGTGCGATCATGTGTTTCTGAAACACTTCCAAGGAATTCTCTTGTAGTGATTTTTGTGCAGTTGAATGTTGCTTGGATATTCAGAGTTGATACAGCAGTAGGCAAAAAATGGTTTGGGATTTCTTTTTTTCCTTTAGAATGGTTAGAGGGAAATTTGGTTGCCAGGATTCAACAATGTACCAACCGCAGTGCAAAGCAATGCAAATTACGAATTGCAGAAGGTACAACTGTAGGAATATTCAGCCTGTGAAGACTCTTTACTTTTGTTTTCATCTTCAGTGCTTGTGCATGGTTAGTGTACTACTTTCCTGCATCCCTCTACAGAATCAGGTTGGCCACTCATCCTGACAAGGCATCTGCAGTCTTCTATCCAAAGTATGTCATCAACCCAGCTCTGCATGGGTTGGAGATACATAGAATGTCATTAGAGTTGTGAAATATTTAATGGCATCTTTTTGTATTCTCTGAGCAATGGTACAGATTTTAGAAGACCTTTGAAGAACCAGTGTTAGCTGCATAGATAATTTTGAATGCTGTGTATGAAGAGTCTCTTTCCAAGTGGGTGGCTGCTATTTGTTGTGTAAAGTGCTGATATGGGACTGAGTAGTCCCCAGAATTGACTCAGATAACAACTGTGTGTTTTTAAGATTCAGGCAAGCACTCTATATTATAAATAACTTTCTAGGTACGGACACTGAAAACTGCAAATTAGGTTTGCCTATTCAGCTTCCTTAACAGTAGAACAAAACCTGGAGAATCATAATCCAGATATGTTTCAATGCTTTGTTTGTATGTGATAGATCTGAGAATAATATAGAACTTTAATTCAAGATAGTGGAAGAGCTGTTATGTAACAAAACAGGCTTTTAAATTGCACTGTAGTTTTATATGGCTAACATTTGTGTCACTTAGATTTGGGGTTCAGCTGTGGGTTCGTAACCTGAACTTTGTCCAGCATCAGACTACATGTTGTGGTATCTTTCTATTATTTCACACAGAAAAACTAAGGCGTAGTCTTCCAAACTTGTCCAGGACATCTAGCATCCAAGCTGAGTCTGTGAAAAACAGTAGAAGTGACTCAAACTTCCAAGTGCCAAATGGAGGAATACCTCGCATTCAACCTCAAGCATCAGCCAGTAAGTACCTTTAGTGACACTTCAGTGTGTATTTCAGAGTTAAGTGATGGTACTCAGCTGTCTTCCAGTTTCATGGCAAAGGGAAACATTGCATGCCACACTGGAGATGCTAATCTTGATTTTTAATCATACCTGTATGAATCTGCTTTTTTGGTACACAAAATATGATTATATTCAAAGAATGTCTGACCTCCTATTAAGGTATCATTCATAGTTTCCTAAAAGTATTTGTAGAAGTACTATAAAGAGTATAAATAGTATAGTTAGCTAGATATGGTAGTTAAGTAGTTCAGAAACTGTTTATTTTCTGTGATTTACAGAGGGTATAATGCTCTGTACTGTTGAATTTTATTTTCAGACTACAGAAATGTAGTAGGCTGTGAAAATACATACCTAGATTGTTTATTGCTTTTTTTAAACTAATGAAACCTGTTCTGAAAACATTCATGCAAGTTTAACCCCTGTTTGCAGTTCATTCTCTTCTTTTGCTTTGTCACCTGGAAATTATATATCAAGTTGCAGATCTTATTAGAAAAGGTTTGGATGAACCTGTGTCCCGTGAAACAAATTAGCCCATTGCTGGGCTTGTGGCTGCTCGTTTGTCCAAAAGTGAACTGCTGATATGAGAGTGCTGCTAATCTCACAGGTCTCTTGAAAGTGGTGACCTTAAAGAAGCCAAAGCAAATGAAACTTAAATATTCAATGCTTCTTTATATGTCAATATTGGCAGTTCCTGTTGTTGAAAATGGCCAGGAAACATTTATTTTAAAGCAAGTTTCAGAGTTTAATAACCTTGTGTGACATTTTCAAGGGAAGAACACATTATAAGGATTATTTTGTGTAGAACTTTCAACTACACAAGTTCTATGATAAAGTTCATCAGTAATCTAAATATTTGATGGGAAATGTAAGATAATATTTATGGCTGAAATGCATTTAATTTTTTTTTAACCCATTGAACAGTAAAGGCATACTGGCATACCTAGTTGGCCTTGTTAACTAATCCTTTTAAAACAGTGTGTTAATGCAACCAAATACAGAATAAGGAGTACAGACCATGCCAAAGACTACAAGATTTCCATCTTAGTAGTGACTCAGACCAGGCATAAGGGCCCTGGGGACAGTCAGTTCCAGGTGTGTGATACTGTAGCCAAAGAAGTGAGTGTGACCTTGTGATTGTTCATATAGGTTACCCCAGCATTCTTTCACTTTTCCCCCTTCTTCCACTACTCATAAAACACTCAGAAGGTGGGATTTACACCTGAAAGGGCATGTGTGTAGTTCAAATGCAGGACTGTTATCTGTTAGACAGGCTTACCCAACTACCGAGCAGTTGGACAGCAGTTCTCTAACTGTGATACTTCTGTGATAGGATGAATAATCAAAATGACCTGAAAGAAATTGAAGGAAAAAATATTTTTAGTAAAAATCTGTACAGATTTTATTGGTGTTTTAAAATTGAGTGAAGTAGGAAGGGAAGAGCACAGATGGCAACTTACTTGACTAGAAGGCTATTTAAAAGTATATTCGCAGTGAAACTTTATGGAAAGATCAGACAGCAGAAGTCTCAATATTTAGTGAGCTACTGTATTACAGGAGCCAAAGTAGTGTAACTTGTGTTTATACATACATAATTTTTTTCAACTTGTAGATGCATTGAGAATCACAGAAATTATTAGGTAAATTTGCTTGCCTTTCATGGGACTGTTTGCCCAAATGTGAACCACTCTAGACCAAACTTACATTTAAATGTAAGTTAAGTATCTTAATAAAGCCCAGATTTCTAGCTTTTACAGTTTCCCTGCTCTTACAGATGTTTGTCAGAGTCTTGCTATTGACAATCGTAAAACGGTTTGTGTATGAAGTCAATGAGTAAGTATCTTTGCTTAGTCTGGATTCAAAAAAATTCTGCAAAATTGTACATTGTATAAAATTTCCAGAATTGTGTCCTTTTTATCATATACTTTTTGTTTTATTGGTTTTTATATTTTGTCACCTTGCACAAAGCACTGTTAAATTGCAGCAAATGTTTGTTTTCCCTTGGCAATGACTTCTGGGTCTTGGGATTTGAAGCTTCCTCATATACCTGCTAGTTTTGCATGAGCTTACCTTTGCAAGGATGCTGGCTTGCCACCCAAGGTCACTACTTTTCCCCTTGTCAAAGATCTGCTGTTCATAATTTACTTGCACATTTGCTGTGGCTGCAATACTGAACTGGCTATGGTTGCTGGCATTCAAAAATGAGTTAGGAATCCAGTAAGTTTCTGAAAAGACAATTCCTGTTATGGTTACATAGGCAAAAAACTACACGCTTGCTTAAAGAGTAGAGGGAAGATGCTTAAAATGTGTTTCCAGGTACAACTGTAAAACATGAAAACATTTAGCATTGTAAGTTTTAGCCGTAATGTGGTGAAAAATCCAAATTCTTTTTGAAAAGACAGAGTGAATTAAATAGCAGTTGTAACTATGAGAATCTTCATTTACATCTGATTCTCCATGCTGTTATGCAGAAAGTACTTTTTTATATGCAAGCTATTAAATATTTCACCGTAAAACACTGGAAGATACAGTGATATTTGCGTTCACCAAGGAATAGGTATCTTTTGGACTTTGAAGTGTTAGAATGACGGGAAGTCTCTGTATTTGGGTCCTACACCACACAGACTGTGCAAAGCTGTAGAATTTCTGGGATGACTTCCACACAGGAGCTTTGTGCTTTCTTGTGGATTGTGTGTGATACTTTCGTACTTACCTGGCACTATTAGCACACTGATCCTTAAGCAGAGTTAAAGATAGTATTTTTTCAAAAGGCCAAGCTGCAGATTGTTCAAACTATCAGTAACTAGTCTGCTTGCCAAGATCCCGCTGCTTGGTATGTTCAGAGTAAAAGAGGAAGGTGTATCCTTTGAGGAAACAGAGTGTTCCAGTTCAGTTGACCAGAAGTAAACGTAACTACATGTGTTCCACATGCACCATTTGTGACAGGTTATGTAATAGCATACAGAGCATTTCAAGAGCAGCAAATAGTGCACATGAGCATGCACTCCATCCTTATCTCAAACTGCATGTTTCCTCAGCATTGCTCAACTTGTACTGCCTGAAGTTCTCTTCAGTGATTTGGTGCACAGAATTGTTTAGCTATTGAGTCTCTCATTTCCTGGAGTCTTCATGGAGAAGGAAGGAATTTGATAGGTATTTGAAATCCCACATCTCTGACTTGCAAGTAGCGTAAATAATGATGGGGAAAGAAACTTAGTGCCGTGTACAGTAGCATATTTAAATCTAACTGAGGCAGACTAAATTCAAGATCATAAATACGAAGGAAGAAGCTGTTCTTTGTTTTGTGTGGTATAACAAAAACACTGATTCAGTAAAAAATGTTATAATGGAATACTTGTGGACAGAAACACTCTGGCCAGTGGTCTGCCTCACTAAATTCCTAGGAATTGTACTCATCTTTAAACAGCTTACTGTGCTTGGTTGGCTGTTCATGGAGATGCCTTAAAAGTTTATATCAAGACCATGTGCCAGAAGTTAAATAAGAATTGCACATTGCCACATGCTTTTTTGCGTTAGGTTCTAGTTGATAGAAGGACTAGGTTTTTTATTCTTAATAGCCACAGGCAGTACTTTATCATGTTTATAAACACTTTAATTCCTTTTTGCTGTTTGTTGAAAATTACAGGTTTTAGTCACTTATCAAGACTAAAATGAATAGACCACCCAGTCATATTTTCAGAATGAAGGTAAAACACATTATGAGCTTCTTTTATAGTTTGCAGAACACTGAGTTTTGCACTGACTGAAGGATAGGAAAGGTGGTGGCAATTATTATATGCTATCAAGTTTAGAAAAGGATTGACTTAACGTTATTAGAATTCTGATTGTTCTTCCCCTGTCTTCTTTATCGTGATATTCACCAGCTGGTGATAGGATTACTGAGCCTCCTTACTCAGGGTCAGGGTCTTTATGCACAGCTGTCCCCCTGTCTTGCTTCCTTTTAACTATTGAAATAAGCCTTGCTAGTGCAATCAGTTTTATTCTGGCATAAACTCCGTACACTGAGGTGAGCAGAGATGTTTATTCATATATTATCATGTTAAGAAGCCTTTGTGTAGGCAAAACTTTATTTCATTAACCACATTCCTCCTTCCCCCCCCTTAAATATGCTGCGGTGAAAATCCGCTGAGTCGATGCGTTCCTTCTGGCAATAGGTAATTCTCTCCTTGCCAAGATTCTGCAACTCTTGGAACGTTGGCTTCTCTCTTGGTAACTGGTAGGTAGTGAGCTCATTTCAAGGCAATATCAGCCCTTGAACATTACTAGAAAAAAGGCAGGACATAGCAGCAAAGGAGCAATAAAAACAATTTCTGTCATGCTGTCTACATGCTGGCAGCTGATAAGTCTTAGTGTTATGCCTTCATTATAAGTTTGAGTCCTCTTGCATACCCCTTTGAAGAGGAAGAAGAAAAACGGGCGTCTCTTAAAATGGCTTACGCTTGCATAACTGAAAAATACAATTTGTTTATACAATGATCACATTTAGACAAAGATTTATGTATAGTGTTAGAATATTTTTTGACAGCTCCTTTAAAATTAAAAGTTTCGTCTTGCTAGGTCAAATAGGATAGTTTAATTTTCATCTTTGTACCTAATCTTGCCCTCATTGCTGTAGCATGTTTGCTAGGTGGCTTGTTCTCCCTTTTGGTGTATTAATTTTTTTTGCCTTTCTGGGCTTTTTGCCCTGCAAGAAGCTTTACTCTTACAGAATCCGCGCATTTTGCACCGCAAAATTTCTGACACGCTCCTCTGTAACTCTTTGCCATTAAGAGCAAGCATCATTTAAAAAAACCCACCACTTACAGTGTCATAACAGCTTTTTGAGTGTTGTACTCACTGTTCCTTGATGCTTCACAAGTGGATGCAATTCTGAAATTCCCAGTAAATTTAGTTTTCTTATCTTCTTAGACAAATATAACACTTCTTGTCTTTCAACAGCTCTGCAAAGGCAGAAAAATTTGCCTCGTGCTGCCTTCAAAACCAAACAGTTTCTTCAAACTCCATCTACAAAAGGAGGTAATTAACTTACAACCTCTTATCAAGCTCCAGCAAATCTCAGATAATTGTTCACCTGCATTAAATCTCACATATTCTAGGTTAATGAAATTGCTGTTGCATGTTGAGATTAACCAAGTAGTCCTTGATGTATGAAAGTTAACTTTTTGGTCTAAAAAAATGCAGCCCTGCATTATATGGAACAAAAAGTATTACATTGGATTTTGAGATAAAATTCAAGGACTGGTGATTTACAGCATTATTCAGGAAATCTGGATTAGAAAAGTAGACTCTTGAATCCATATTCACTAGGGCTACATTTGGATAAAATTGTAAACCACAGTTTTTAAAACAAGTTGTAAAAACTTTTTTTTTTATTATTATTGTGCAAAAATACACAGGCAAGTGAAAATATCATCCTTTGTGCTGGAAAGAAAAGCTAACAAATTTATCCTTGAAAAGATGAACATGGAATGTCAACTTGTTTTGCACATATGCTTTCACTTTCTCTTTTCCTCTCAAAACTGGAAGACCCAACATACAGTAATTTAGATTTGTATTTTTTTCTCAAAGAATTTGAAACTATTGTATGTAATATTAAAGTTTGCTGACAGCTAAAGTTGGCTTTTTTTTTGAGAAGAAAATGAAGTATACTGAGCATCTAATCCAGTTAGACAAGTTCTAACTGATTTTTAATTAATTCTGTCAGCCTTGTATGTGACACTGCCTTGATTTCACTACTAAGGTAAAACAAGTTCATGATTTTGGTTTTAAGCATAGTTGGTTGTCTATTACAATCTAGAAGATCTCATTTTAAAGATCATTTTTCACTTGAGACCAATTCCTAAACTCTACATATGCTAAAATCCTTTAAGGATTGTAGGAGTCCTTCATGCAGATCCTGAGAGCGGCTGGCAAAATGCACGCATTTCAGTGGTTTAATGACTAACCACTTTGAGTCAACTCCATTCCATGCAGGAGGTTTTAGCAAAGTATAATGACTTTGAAACAGATTCACATGGCTTAATAGGAGGTCTCTAACACTTTCATAGTATTTCATACCAAATAGAGAAAAGTTCTCTCCATATTCTGATTTGGCATAAGACCACTATCTCAATTCCTCTGCAAAGCTTTCAGTGCTGTCTTTCCAGCTGGCCATGCCTTCACCTTCATCTGGATGTCTGGAACACTTACTGGGTCAATGGCCTAGTCCGCATCTGTGGAAATGTTCAGAAAATTAACTTCTCTTTGAGTATATATTTGTTGTAAAATTTTATTAAACTTCAGAGAATGAGGAACTGCGCATGTTGCACTGCTATTTACATACTCCACTTCATAGTTGCTGTGATTCCTCACTGCAGATGAGGACCCAACACGTCCTTTTCAGTTATTTGCTGTTTTATAGTCCTTGAAGTGTTGATTTTCTTGCTTCTGATATGAGATTCTCACAAGTATAGAAGCATTATGCAGTAATGAAACAAGATTTTTGTTTCAAAAGAACAAACAACTATGAGCAACAATTGGTTTTAGTTTCTTAACATACTGTTACTTACATAGCTTGACACCTTTCACACACAGATGTTGGCTTGTTTTTTACCATTTTGTGAAAAACAGTTCAAAATGCATTCTAATAACTAACTCTTTACCTCAGTGTAACAGATTTGTTAAGGCTTATACAGCAATCCAGTATGAGTCAGGTCTCAGACTCATAGAATAGTAAAGATCATCTAGTCCGGCCCCCCTGCAATGAGCAGGGACATCTTCAACCAGATCATATTGCTCAAAGCTCCATCCAGCCTGACCTTGAACGTTTCCAGGGATGGGGCATTTACCACCTCTGGGCAACCTGTTCCAGTGGTTCACCACCCGCATTGTAAGAAATTTCTTCCTTATGTTTAGTCTAAATCTACTCTCTTTTAGTTTAAACCCATTACCCCTTGTCCTGTTGCTGCAGACCCTACTAAAAAGCCTATCACCATCTATCTTCTAAGCCCCCTTGAAGTACTGTATGTCCACAACAAGGTCTCCCCAGAGCCTTCTCTTCTCCAGGCTGAACAACCCCAAGTCTCTCAGCCTTTCCTCATAGGAGAGGTGCTCCAGCCCTCGTTTTTGTGGCCTCCTCTGGATGTGATCCAACAGGTCCGTGTCTTCCCTGTACTGAGATGGCAGAACAGTTTATTGATTCCCATCATTTTCCCTCATCTGTTATTTTGTATTGATCTGAATCATCTCATCACAGTGGTTATGATTTCACAACTGCAGTAGAATTGATCCTGGTTTCAAGTTGGTGTGCAGCAGCTGGCCTTGGAGTGCAAGCCAGACAAGGTTGTAGCTTCACAGCATCCTATTTTGCCGGGTGGGGATCTTGTGCTCCCTGCTCACAATCCAGGATAGAATCCAGACAAGATGGGAAATCTAAATGCAAAGTGCCATTTATTTTTATTCTTGACAGATGTTTTAATTGTAGTTGGTTCTAGCTACTTAGTTTCTGAGGAGATGGAGTTGCGTAAAGTTGTTAAGCACTGCTCTTACATGTTTACATGTTTTTATTAAACGTGGATAAGCTTAATACTGCCCATGCTTGTACAATTATCAAATAGTCTTTGACTAAGGCAGTACCTCACTCTTTGTGATCCTGTCTTACAAATAGGCCAAACTGAGTTTTATTCAATATCCAAAACTGCTCTAAGACAAAGTTCTTTGTCTGTAGAACAGAATTATTAGGCAGTTTGCCAGAGACTGCATCATGTGGACTGCTTTGGAGATCACAGCACATCAGAAGACAATTCATTCCTTTATGTACAGGAATGAATGCAGCTCTCAGTAATGTCCACAATGCTGTGCTGACAGGAAACGTTTTATGAATTGACAGCTCAAGTTGGAAGCATGGTAAAATATGGTCAACAGAAAACTGGAGAGAATGGAGAGGTCTAATTTACTGGATGCTTAGTTTCACTGGGAATGTGGCAGTTAGAACTTTTCACTGCTTATATTCTATACCTAAAATCTTTTTCCCTGTTGTGCCTATAAGAGGCCCAAAGCTATAGTCAGTTCTCATACATGAGCATTGCTCTATTGGTCAAGTGCTAACGGGATGCTGTGTTTGTGTCCCAAGCAAGTGTTGTAATGAGAATTTTGGTGATAAAAGCTCCCCATGTTTACATTGTAGAATCACTTGGAAGTTCTGCAGATTCATTTGTACTGATGTTACAGGCAATGTCACATTTTAAAACTTCTGATATGCAATCTGTCTTAGACCTGGGAGCACTTCGCTGTTCTTTTTGTCCCGTCATTCTGCTGTGAATGCTTTCCTTAATCCCTTTTCTGGCTTGAATGCCAAGAGTGGTTATTTTAAGGATTTTTATTTATTCTCCTTGCTACTTACCAACTGTCATGTATTGCTGACATCTCTGCCACCTTTTTTGTCAGCTTTTCCCATGAGTGGCTTCATGCTGCGTTTGATATCGCTGTCAGTGGAAAGGCCTTCTTGGATAGTCCAGAAAGGAATCAAATCCAATTCACGTCTGTAACGAGACACGTGTTAATCTTCCTAGACATCCCCTATAAGAAATGGCTTCAAAATACAACCTGAGAACTACCGTTTCCTCTGCACCCCATCTAAGATGCCACATTCCTGTCATTACTTGTCTCTTCTCTCACTCCTCGTGTTCTTCGTGGATCTACCTTGTAAAACGATAATAAAAGCTGTGTGAACAACCATCTTCTTTATGTGCGACATCTGTCAAAGAGGATGCAACTTTGGTCTCTGTATAAAAAAGTTAGTGGAGGAAAGACTAGTTTGTGCAAATCCAGTAAATGTAAATGTGATTTTGTTTTACTTTCCTGATTGATTTGATTGTCCTGTGTCGACTGTTACTGACCCATCCTAATCAGTTTGAAAAGCTGGTGAAATTCCATTTAAGTACTAACATGATGGATTAGTTTAAGTGTTCTGCTTAGGGATACATTATGCATAATTTGGAAATATTTCTCATACTTGTGAAGGATTGTGCTTGAGGTTTGGCATTATCAAAGAACCATTGGATATTCTGGCTTATTAACCTTTGCCAGAGAGGACTTGATAAAGACCTTACTTGGCTACAGAGTATTTGAATACAGATATTAGCTATACTGATAATTTAGATAATGTCTGTAAGAAGAAGAAGGCTGTAAGTTATTATAGTTGTCTGGTTTAAGTTTCATAGTAGCACCTTAATTTCTTTGGTGGGGGGGGTTGGCTGACCCTATCTTTTTTATTACCCCATCAGCCAGTAAATCTGAGATGTGACTGTATCTTTAGGTAAATTCTAATTCAGTAGATTTGGTTTAAAAGAACATCATAAGACAAACAGTAAGATGCTCTGCACTCAGAATTTCATCATTGAAGGCTAATACACACTTTAAATCTATTTAAAGACTGTATCACACTACAATACTGTACTCTCCAACGTGTTCTTTCAGGGATGGGAATTAGCTTCACGTGTTTCTGAAGCAGTTAAATTTCTTCTTAACAAATACGTTCTCCTCTGTTCCTTTTGACTTGACTGATACAACGGTTAGGGCCTTACTAATATTACTTACAAATACAGATGAATATTTTAGTAAGCAAATGGGACAGTAGAGTTATGATATCAAAAACACGTGACAAAGAGGACATCTGAATTCCTGTTTCTCATTGCTGCTTGACTGGCTGTATTCCATTATACATTCCATATTGTTTGAATATTCACATAATTTCCTGGTTTTAATTTCAGTTATACTGTAACTTAAGCTTGAAAGTAACTTCTGCATTTTATTTTCCAGTACCTTCTTCAAGTAAATTCCGCTCACCTGCAGCACCGTCTCCCCTAGCTCTCCGACAACCATTGAAAGCATTTAGTAACCATGGACCCGGTTCATTTGCTTCTCCAGAAGCCACACAGCTGACACACAGTAGTTCTTCACCAGGGCCTCTTGCAGCCCAGAGTTCAGGCTTGCCAAGCCCTGCCAGCAGTATTAACAGTACTACTCTTACCAGACCGGCAGGGACAGCAGGGATGAGAAGTGGTTTGCCCAGACCCAGTGCCCCTTCTGCAGGGGGCATCCCAGTGCCTCGTAGCAAACTTGCACAGCCTGTTCGCAGGTGAGTATGTGACAGCCAGTCTCAGTTTGAAGTTTTCATAATGAATTTGTGCTGCTCCTTCCTGCAAGTCTTATTTTGATTTGAAGGTCTTTAAGAGTGGAAAGCGAGACCTTCACGTGAAACACTTGCCTATGCTTCAAAAACAGTTTTGGAGCAAAACACAGAGAAAAAGGTTCTTTTATTAGAGTGTGAAGGTGAAGGAGTGAAAGTGGAATGAATAATGAACGATACCGAACTTAAGTACATAAAGTGTCTTAGTCTGGGCTGAGAAGGCCGTAGGAATTTGTCTGCATGTGGCAAAAAGCCATCAAAATATAGCTGGCAAGTGAAAATTCATTTGCAGCTGAGGGATGCATTCTGAAGTCAGAACTATTTTCTTCTTGTGATCAGTAAGTCAAGCAGTGGTATCGTGGTGAGAACAGTTTCTCTCATTGGGCAGCTAGAAACTTTAGGAAAGAAGACACACAAGGACAGGGGAGGCATCCATAGCATTTGCTAAACTTGATGTAAAAATCAATGCAGTTAACCCACAGGACAAAACAGAATTTTCAGCTTAAGCATAACCTCTGTGCTAGCACCCAATTGTAGGAGCTGCTTAATGTTAGAGTGTTTGGCAAACAATGAGACCGAGTATTAACTGGAAAGGCTACATGGGCAGTTTGTCTTCAGGAGAATCAGAAGAAAGCGATGGGTAGTTTAGAATATGTGCTCTTAATGCCGCGCTAACGGGGATTTTCACTGAAGGTGTGAAGTGGAAACCAGCTGACATAAAGCAGCAGTCATCTATGAGAAGTACTAAGAGTCTTCTTAAACAGAAAGGATAAACGGTTGGTCTCCAGCACCGTAAAAAAAGATAAAATAGGTCAACAGCAAAGCAGAACTCTGTTCTGCAGCGAGTGCTGGGCAGGGCAGTGACACGTGACTGTCGCAGTACGGACTGTTTCCGTCCAAGTCTGCACTGTCAACGGTACGAAACTTCGTGCAACGAAAACCAGTTGGTTTTGACAGGAAGTTCTTAATAGTAGCAAAGTGGTTGTCCAAATCACAACTTTTCTTATAGAAAAGTTTCCTTAAACAGCTTTTTTTTAAAAAAGTTTACATACATAATGCAGTATCTGTACACAGTGCCAAAATGAAGGATCTATGAATGTCAAGATTTTGATGTAAGCAATACTCTGAACAAGGATTTTCCTGTTTATAAGTCACTGGGAAAAAATGGCCTATTTTTAGGTGGCAGCAGATTAAGTTTGTATTCTTACAGAGTATAATGGCAAAGTTTTCTGTATATGCAGATGCTTTTCTGACGTGGTACTTGCCAAGATATACAACACTTAGAACCTGAAAATGAAAACACTTCGGGGTTTATCTTAACTAAACAGTATTGCAGAGAAGTAAATGAGCAGAGTGTATATTTCAACTAGTTGTAAAATGTTTAAATTCTCTTTTTGTAGACGGTGACTTCGGCAATTGCGTATGAAACTAAAAAATATCTAATTTTGTTTTAGATCATTACCTGCTCCCAAAACCTATGGCAATGTGAAAGACGAGAGTTGGAAAGATGGCTGCTACTGAACTGCAAAGTTTAATGCAAAGTTCCAGTACTCATGGATGCTTCCTCACCGGGCTCAAAGACAGCTTGATTATACAAACTGTTCAGATGTGACTTTTGGGATTTGTAAAAATTCCAGACCTCTCTGTCTCTATTAGCACAAACTGGCAGAGATTATAAAGCAGCACTTTAATGACATCTAACATCAGATGTTTGGTGGTCATACAATCACTTCTACATTAAATTGCTATCAGCTCTGGGGGTTTTTTCTTGCTTGCTAAAAATGTATCAATATGAGCATTTATGACAGTGGCCAGTGTCTGGGCAAAAACCTAACGAATGCCAAAGAAATGCCCATCTTGAAAAAAAAAGCAAGTATAACAGTCAATTTACATTGTCCAGAACTTCATTTTCAGCCTGTTTTAATTCAGCAGAAAAATTGGTGAATATGTACTATTGAAACAAGGCTACGTTAATCAGAACTAATATTCTGATTGCAGACTGCTACACTGCTAGTGAAGCATTGCTTTTCACAGTTATACGACATTCTCATTGGGGACAGTGGTACGTACATCCTTCAGAAAGAATCAGAAGTTACTCTGGAGGATTAGGCAGAACAGTAAGTAGTGGCCATGGCTCTTATTAACATGAGAGGCTTGAATGTAGCAGACACACACAAATGCAATAGTATAGATTGCATCTTTCCTATGTTGATTTATCAGTTTCACATGCTCTTGTATGTTTGATTGCCAAAAGGGCTTAGTATCAGTTGTACAATCTTTCTGACTTCAAAGTTCCTGGCTCAGGAAAGATGGCCTTTGCTATTGTAGCCACATTTTTAACACATGGCTCGCTATTCGGGGAAAACATTTTTTTATAGCAGGTTTCCTTACAAAGGAAAGAGTAAGTTGTATGTTAATTTGTTCTAATACCATATCACTATGCTTGCAGCCTGGAGCAACTGTAAATGCTGATAGATAAGGAGAAGGAAACACAACTATGCACTTGTAACATACAAATTCTAAGGTAATGAGTTGACTCTTGATGCCAAATGATATTCATTTAGGTGATGTTCCATGGTATGAGGGAGTTTTCTGTATCCTATTTTTTTACTTTCATCCATTTCTTAAATTGGTTTATTTTAAATTGTAAATATTTTTACAGAAGATATTGCCCATGTAAGTGTGTTGAAATATGTACTTTGCCTTACATATGTGTATCTTACATTACTGGTAACAGAGTATGAAACCTGCTATGTCTGTTTACAAGCTATTAAATTCCTCTGGTGGCTCTGACTTATTCTAACACATTTTTCTCAGAACAACTCATATATTTAGCATTTGAACCATTGTTTTCTGTTTTGGAAGACATCGTGCAAACATTTGTAACTGAAGTTGTATTGGGTGGGACTAGTTAAATGGAAGGGATTTTGTTTGAAGCTTTTTCAGTATTTTGGATGTACAGTTGATGAAGTAAGAGAATGTGAAGGGAATATCCTTTGTGCAATGACTGACGAACACTACAAGTTGGATTGGACAGTAGGTAGCGTTCAGCCCCGTTAGTATCTGAGTTTGGAACTGCTGGTCTATTTTGACTCCCACCACTAAGAGGATAACTAACCCTGAAATTCTAGCACTTGAATTTTAGGCCAGCATTAACATATTCCGGGATGAAAAGCCATGCAATACTACTTGACTTGGAAGAAGCCAAATAGGAAGGAGTGGAGACTAATTTGCAGCTCTGATAACTCAAGCAAGCTTTGGGTTGATGAACAACTTCACACTCCAGACCACGATTTGTGCTGAGACATTGAAGTCAGGGAATCAAATATACTGTAATTCAGTCAGATTTCAGCAGGGGTAAAGAAACTACCTTGAAGCAGTAAACCAGTACATACCACTAATCCAGCCTGGGGTCATTCGCTGGCACAGATAATGGATGTCGGTAACTCACATCACTGTTGAGCAGAGGAGAGGACTAGACCAAATGTGCATATTCTCACTAAAGCCCAAATTTTAACATTTCAGCATTTTACAAAGCAATGCTGCAGTCTTGGTTGAAAAAAAAAAAAAAAAAAAAAAAAAAAAAAAAAAGGTGGATTTTATCCAACACTTGACTGACTTTTAAATTTTTAAAATCAGTTTAGATGATGGTATTGGGGGGTTTACCATCGCTGCATCAAACTGTCGTGTACGTTTCCTTAAGTAATTCATCACTTGGGTAAGTTCAGCTTAAGTTTTATAAGGATTCTTTCCTCTGCTGTTCTCCCCTGAAGTACAGCCAATGACTTCCTGAAAAGACAGACTGTCTGTTTACTAGAAAGCCTTTGTGCATTACCAGTTTATTGATATCAGGAAATCACGGGGCTCTGTGTTTAGAGATTTACTGCAGAAGTGTGGAAATATGGATTTGATAAACTAGTGCCTATGATTTACTTAACTTATGTTTGATATAGTAGTAAGGGTTTTATGAATGTGGATTACTTTTTGTGCCAACAGCTCGGAGTTGTTGTATGTGTGTAGGCAGAAGGACTTGTTCTGCTTGCAAAGTTATTTAATTTTTTTGTGTTTGACTGGGTTTTTTTGTAAGTGTTAAAAGTGTAAAAAAAAAATATATAAAATATTCTTACCACAGAATACTTCCTGGATCATTATTTTATAACACATTGTTTTTAAAAGCTTTTAGAAATCTAGAGGGTATTACTTCAGGCCTTTTTTGGCTGGTTGGGTTGTTTTTCAAGAACTATATTTACTTTTTCAGAAGTTACCAACATCAGCTTCTGCTCCCCTGTAATTCATGAACTGAGTACAATGCTGTATTTGGGTGAATATCTGTGATTTCATTGACAGATGGATGAAGATTTGTGTTGTGCCTCTGCTCTGGAAGGACAATGCATAATTCAGTTATGTGAAAAACTATTCCGAATTTGCATCCAGAGTGATTTGGTTTTGTAATTCCTTAGTGTATACAAGCTGCCTTTCTATTTTTACAGGATTTGTGCTCACATCAACCAACCACATGAAACAAATTTTTCATTTTGAAAATTCTGGAATTTATGCAGAAAATTGACCAATGTAAAAATGTACCTAAAGCTGCCTTTGAATTGTTAAGTACATGTTTTAGCTAGCTCATATATGAATGCCTCTATTTTTTGGCTCACACACAAGCAAAAAGCTTGTTTTGAACTTGGTAACTTTCTGTAATCTGCATTTTGCTACAAAGCAACGTAGTATATCCAATAGTAACGTGAATGCTATCCTTTTCCTATCTTGGTGTTAATAAAGTTAAGCTAGGTTTCCTTCTATTTGGTGACCACTTAAATCTGTTTCAAAAAATCTAGCCTGTGAGGCTCACTATTAATTGTTTATCCCAGCATAGTCCCCTACTTTGTAATTAAGGCAGTAGATTAAAATATTTCCCCCTACTTAGATGACCTTATGCAGAGCTGGCTTCACACCTCCTGCTTCTAAATTGTGCTCCGCTACACCTCCCTTCATCGCTTTTTAGTTCTGCAGTCAAGAACCATTTGCCCCACACCCCTTCAGGAAAATAGAGGCGAATCAAAATCACAGGCAATGAAGAGCCTTTTGCGCTTCTCTTTTAGTAGGTTTCTGTAACAAACTCTTCTATATTAAACTCTTGTTAATAATTAGCCTCATCCTATTGCAAGACTCAAGACAGAAAATACTGTTTCTACTGTTCTTTTATTTTGAGCAAAGGTACGGCAGCTCCTTTGGTTTGGGCCCAGAAGTGCTAGGTCATGATTTATTCGATAGTGCGTTACCCTCTATGAGTCCAGTTGCAGTGGTGAAGGAACATAAGCAATGAAGATGTAAGGAGGCATAGGGTTAAAGCTGCTTATGCTGCTGAAGTCTTGGGTGGCTCCAGAGCACAGAGTTTTGATCATTTATAACTTTAATACAGATATTTCTGAGAAAAATGCGGGAAACAAATACAACAGTGATATGGCTTTAGTTCTCCCTCTTTTGATCTGTAAGAACAGGACTAAACGTGAGATTTATTCTTTTTCATTCTGATTTTTTAAATAAAACACGTGTGATGTGAGGGTGCTTTGATTTAAAAAACAAAACAGAAACCCCACCTGCTCTTGACTTACATAGATGCCGCTCTGTAGTACGAGGCTGATGCTTCCAGGCAGTCTGTTTGTAGTCGTCTTGTTTGAGCAAGCTGAGGCTGGGATTCAGGTGCTCTCTGGAGTATCCATACGTTACACAAAACCTCACGGTAAAGAAGATGCTCTCTACGCGGAGAATTAAAGAACTGAAAGGAAAAGATTCCATGAGACTCACTTTCCACAGGGATTGTTTTAGAAAAGCATTTTCAGCCCTGGCATCTCATACAGTTGTACTGTGTGTCACTGTCCTCTTCACACTAAATGATAAACTGTTGTGACTCTACCTTGAGCACTTACAGGATGCAAAACATAACTGTAGTGATTAAATTAAACTGCAGATCTGCAGCAGGATTGAAAGGAACAGGTAGCTAAAATGATTCCTTACCAGCAAAGTGATTTTTCAACTTGGTGCATCATCCACATCTGTTATAAACAATGAATTTTTTAAAAAAAAAAATTGTTAGTTTTGAAAGTTGGGAAGTCTGAGTTTCTCTGCAGTGTGGCACTCTCACGTGAGACAAGAGTGGACTCTATCTTTTACAACACTAAGACTAAACAGAAGAAGATACTTCTGTTGTAATCTGAACTCCTATCATCTGCATAAACATGGATAAACATGTAAGTCCATTTTCTTTTGGAAAATTATTTTAATATCTTACAAATATACAGCTTAGAAGGGCATGTGATGCCTTCTCCCTTAAAGCATGCAGGCCTCCTTGCTTCTCTTAAATGATCCCTGAAAGTTTACTTCTATTGTCAGCTACAGCCAGTGACATGCAAAAAATAAGCATATTGGGGATGAATGGTATGTGCCTTACTAAGAGGGTGGTCCGTCCCTAGCGTTACCTGACTTTTGGTTATCACATATAACACGCAGAATACAAACTATGAGTTCCTTCTGTTCTTTTCCATTCTTTTTGCCATGTTTTTCTTGAGACTTCAGCAAAAATTGCAACTTTTCACAGTCCTGCTATGAGACACTGTTTAAAATTCTTGCTAGTGCAAACAACTCTGTGGGATGTCAGACAAGCTACTCATCCCCACCCAGCACGTGGTCTCAAGAAGCGCGACACCAGCTGCCTCCGTGTTCCTCCAGATGAAGGCTGTGAGAAGAACCAGGCGAACACCTGCCACCCTGCCCAGCTCGGCTGCAAAGGCAATCTGGGAGATACTTAGCGTAATATATTTTTCAAGATTTCTTACAGCTCTGTGCATTGGGAAAAGTGAAATGAACAGAATCGGTTCTCATGTGAACGATAACTCATTTCTGAAAACACCAGCGTTTTTTGGTCCGACTCAGCTATTTTCTTGCTAAAAGTAGCTGGTGAAATTAGTCTAGTAGTATACTTTTCTGCTGGTTTCTGCATAAGCTTGCTGTTTTTATATTCAAGGAAAGGGCATTCATACTAGTTTCTTTCTGTAGGAAGGACAGTTAATGGCTTCAAAAACATTAAAAGGATCCATTTTAGAGTTTGTGGGTTTTTTTGCATGAAAACTACCTATACAGTAACAGGAAGGTGAGTAAGGACACTGGTCTCTGTTGTTCTCCGCCTCTGTCCTGCCCAGGAGGAAAAGATGTTTATTAATACAGGAGCAGGACATGGGTGACTTGGGACTCTGCACGGCCTTGGCTGCTTAAAGCCACGAAGGTGAACAAGAACTGTGGGGTGTGACGTGCTGGTGGCAGGAGCGGGGTCAGGGGGACGGGCAAGTGCTCTGGGCTTTCCCCGGCCTCTCGCGCTTCCCGGGCGTCCTGCCTTGGCCACGGGCAGAGACAGGCCGCTGGGCTCGGCTGGGTGGCCCTGCTCCAATCCCAGCATCGCTGCACTTGAACTCCTAGAAGCCTCCTATATTTGTCTCAAGGCGCTCTTCCTACGTTTTTTGTTGTTGTTGTTGTTGTTTGTTTCCCTTCAGACATCACCAGCAAACAAATCTGTACAAGCCACCACAGAAGCTGAGTTACCTGACTGATCCTTACACCCCTTTCACCGATTAACCGGGGTTAACGCTGCTGTATCGTTTCACAGCTGCTGCTGCTCTCTCTCTGCTTCAGATGGTGCCAAAATGCTGACGGGATAAAGTGATGCTGGAGCATGCTCTGGGTTACACAGAGTTTGGTTTGCACCCTGGTCAGGGCTGAGGGCAAGGCCCGCTGCACTG